GATCAAGCACTGTGCAGGAGCGGAGAAGTGAACAGAACATCGATGCCAGGTGAGTGACAGCTAAATCACAGGCAGAAGAGAGAGAGAGAGAGAGAGAGAGAGAGAAAAGGACTATTTTTAAAATAACTATAAAAGTCCTAGCGGCTTAATAGCGACTAATAGGCTTGGAGAAAGGACGGAAGAAGAAGAGTAAAGCGGAAGCTACAAAATTAAAAAAAAAAAACCATTAAAAAATTATGTGCTGGATTCAAATATTTGGAGAACTTAAAAAAATAAATTAGAAGAATTGACAACCCGAAAGTTTTTTCCCTAATTAGTGAACCTTAAAAGAAGTTTAAAGAGGGAAGAAAAGCCCATAGTAGAAAGGATTGGTTAAAGATTTTAAATTGAAATTGATTTGGAAAGTAAAGTTGGAATTTGGACTGTGTAAATTTGGACCGAGTTTTTAAACTGATTTGGTGCATATAAAAGTGAAAAGGAAGAAGAAGGAAAATCAAATAAGCAAAGACTGTTCAATGTGGATTGCAAACAAAATGGATACTTTTCCGGTTGCTGATTGCAATTGTGGATTATAGAGAGCTATCTTCAGAAGAAGAAGAAAAACCATTACAATGCTGAATTTCTATTTTGGAAAAAAAAGAATAAACCTTGAACTTTGAAAGAGACAGCTGTGAATCTTTAAGGAGGCTTGGTTTGGCTATAAGTGTGACTTTGACGATTAAAGAAGGAGAATTACAACACAACTTGAAACTGGAATAATATTAACTGAAAAAGTACAAAATGGAGGAATTTAAGGAAATGATGAAAATGATGTACTTATCATTGAAGATGGAAATAAGGGAAATGACTTTAATATTGCAAGGAAAATCGAAACCTGATGAACTAAAAAATGACTTAGAATTTATTCAGATTGACAAGGTAATAATTAAGAAGCAAGAAAAAGAGACTGATAATAAAGAAGAAGACAAAGACAAAGAGATTGACTATGGAAAACTAAATGATTATGGGGCTAATAATAATAAAAAGAATTTTAGAGATTACATTAAAATTAATGGAAGAAACAGAAAAATGGGAAAGAAGCAAAGAAAAAGAGGGCGGAACAGAAAGAATATAAAAGACTTAAATGATTACGCTGGGATTATCAGTGGGAAAATAAGAAAAAGGGAAAAGGGATGGAAAATAAGGAGAAATGCAGGGCAAAACAGAAGTTTATGACTTTAAAAGACAAAATGATTACACTGGGATTAATAGTGGAAAGATAAGAAAAAGGGAGGAGAGAGTTCAGGAATTTAAAACACAAAAGAAAAGAAAGGAAAAGAAAAAGAAAAAGAAAAAAAAATAGAAAAATGGAAAGGGAGAATTGTGATATTAACTAAGCAATTTAACATATGTATGTATGATGAATGCAATAATTGGGATAGTCATAAGTAATTAGGGAAATGGTAATAATTGGAATATTTTTAATTATATATTTGGAATTGAACTAAAAAAGAAAAGAAAGTTGAAATGATATGGGACAATGAACTAAGTAGAAAAAAAATCATACTTATTTGGTTTCTATAAAGTTGTTGAATTGTATTATTGGGAATAGAGAGAATTTAAGGAAATGATTGGGAATTGCATTATGGTGCAAAAAAATAATAAAATAAAATAAATACACCTACACCCACAACCGCCACTGTGCAACAGGCTGCTTTCTACTTAGAAGAAGTAAACCTGCAAATTGAGAGTCCTTATAGACTTATGGCTCTTATTAAAAAGGAAGTGGGGTCCATGGCCAGGAGGACCTTTACTCATTATAGGTAAGTAAGCCATCCAGGGAGTAAGTCTAGTAAATCACCCATACTCATTACTACGAAATGGGACCACTATTGCAACACACTCCACTTAGAGCTGATCATATAAATGACTCAGAAACTTTAAATGCTACAAACCTAACACTTCTATCACTTCACAGTTCAATTAAATTTTATTAACTTTGCTCCAACCCCTCCTTATTGGAATGATAATGATGATGATGATTCTGTTGTTCTGCATATACACTGAGAGTTTCTGCACCAGAGACAAACTCCTTGTGTCTAATCACACTTGGCCAAATAAAGTTCAGTTCTGTTCTATTCTATTTCTGTTGTTATAACAGTAATTGACGATTAAAGGTAATGCATAAGCATCATTATTTCAAAGTTTTTGAATGTTGTTGCTATTGCCATTATTGTTAATGTTACAGGTTTTAAAATTTGATTTTAGTTGCTCAGCATCTTTGGAATAGAATGGAATATGAAGTATATAAATGCAAAAACAAATGAACTCACTACAAAGATAAATCAGCAACTGTAGGGCAGCCATTGTCGGATATGAGATGGACAACAAATAAATTTCCTAAATAAATAAATAAATGGTTTGTTTTGCTTCTATGAAAATTCACAAAGCTATGTATGTGTCCTGCGAAATGCAGTTTTTGCTTACATGTTAAATGATGTTGCAAAATAGAATTGCAGCAAAAGCTTCAGCTCTGAAAGCACTAATTGCTCAACCCAGTTTGATTGTTCCATCATATTTGGAATTTATAATATATTTTTTTAATCCTGCAATATGGTACACTAAAGGCAGTTCAATCTCTGCACTACCGATATGTGAATAAAAACTATTTGCCAACTTCATGTTACAGCACAAGTATAACCACAGCAAGTATACTTTATATATAATAATATCCAAACTATTGGTCTATTAAAGAATACTGCTACTCATATATTCCATAAAACTCTTTATACATATTTTTTTCCAGATGAAAACTGAAACAATAAACTACAACAACCTTGCATTTTTGCAGCATTGAATCTGATAAATATTTTTAAGGACTAAGACAAATTATTTTAACACTGTTAATAATCATACCAATGCCTGTCAGACTTGTTTCCCTTCCTGAGCATCATATTTAATTTAGCAATATTGATAATTCCAAACTGAATTATTGTCCTAAAACATGTGAACTAGAATATGGCTAAGTGGATTTAAATTCTATTTGTGTAGATACATCCTTAAAATTGACTTAAGCATGAATGTGTATGCAGAAGACCCTCATCTGTGATATAGACACTGGAGTATGCTGGCATTACAAGCAAATGTAGTTATGTGTGTAGTTTTTACACCAGCAAAGTCACCTGAATACGGAGTACTAATATGCAAACAAAAATGCTATTTCCTAAGGTTTTTTATCTATATCCAGAGATCATAAATACCTAAATGAGTGAATTCTTTATAGAGGTTTTTCATGGAGATTATATTAAACCCATCCTTAAATGTATCAAGATGAAGAAGCCTATACACTTTGCCCTCCACAATACATCCGTTATGTCATAACCTCTAAAAACTCATATTCAAGCTGGCTTTAGAACAGTGTGCTCCAGTCACATTAAAACCTTTACCCATATCAAGGGCTAAGGTATGGTAGAATTTCAACCTCCTCCCACCTCCTCAAGTGCTATTGATCCAACTATGCCTCCTTGCAATAATAAAAGAAAAATAATACAGGAAACTGAACTTCCAGGGACACTAGAGTATCCCGAAATCTGGCATTTCCACATTTCATTATTGCATGCTACTAGGACAAAGTCATGCTGAGTCAACTTGGTTAATCTCAAAAAGTTAAACTTAGTCAGATTTGGCAAATATTTGATGGAATCTACCAGGAAATACCAGGCATGTAAATAGATTGCAATAGGGAGGGAGGGAGGAAGGAAGGAAAGAAGGAAGGAAGGACTCCACTTCCATATTGTTGCAAGAACAACTGCATTAACATATCTATAAAGCTGTCAGAATATGAGAGTTATTGATTACCAATTAAAATCAATATATATCAAAATAAGCCAGCTTTAAGTTTGTGGTGCTCTGTTTCAAACTGCAATCTACAGATCAAAAATAAATAAAAGCTAAAACATCAAGAAAGATAATCTGGAAAAGAGCCATTAAAAATACAAAGTAAAGGCAGGAAAATATGGTAATGTGAAATACAATAGTTCGAATATCACATTAAACTACCTACAATTACTCTGGAACTTATGCCAGGAACAATTAAAACTGTCATTAAAAGAACCTCCTGTAAAATGCACAAAGAAATGCTCCTCTTTATCTACATACAGCATTGTATTAGTGGAATATAGTTCCATTAAGCAATTTACTGATTAGAATCTTGCATATTTCCATAATTGTTTACATTATACCAACAGGTTGAAAGCCTTGGCTGCATTATAAATTGACAGAGTTAATGTCTGGCTTTATGCAGTAAGCCAAAACAAACATATTTTCTGTTCAGAAAAAATTATTAATGTAGACAAAATGTCCTAAAGCAACTGTTCAGCAATGTTGTATATGACATAATGGCTCTTTAAAACTTGAAACATTTATATGTGGCTTATAGATTAAAAATGATTGCATTCATCTCCTCAATTATATTTTGTTTGTTAATCCAAGAGTAGGCCACCTGAGCTGAATGTGTGCCCTGAACTGCAGAGCCATGTTGGATCACAGTTGTTGAAAATTGACAGTATGATTTCCTATCATTTTGTAACCAAAACAAAACTGTACCAGCTCTTAAAAACATCACCCTAAAAAATAAATCATCACATTGATTTTTATTTATTTATTTATTTTGCCATTCAATCATGTCCGATTCGTGAAGTATACCTGACAGGTCCCTGAAATTTCTTAGCAAAGCTTTTCAGAAGTGGTTTGCTATTGCCTTCTTTTTATGGTTGAGAGAAAATGACTGGCCCAAGATTATTCAGCTCGCCTTGTGCCTAAAGAGGGATTAGAACTCAGGGTCTCCTAATTTCTAACTTGATACCAAACTGGCTCTCAAGCACGATGAATAATTTATATATCAATAGTAATAAAATGTTGGGCACTCTCTTACTATTAGGATGCACATACAGGATCTAAGGAAGCAGCAGAAGAGAAACCAAAAAAAAAAAAAATCAATATTCCTCGATCTTGCACCATACCTGTTCTCCAATAAAGTCATGCACACAACCTCTCGCACACCAGGATTGTTGGCTTTTTCAACAGAGCAGTTTTGCAGATTCCAAGTGGCCACTCTCAGCACAGGTCGCCCATCCCGCACCCCACCAAACATTTCCACTGTGGGTCGTGTGGAGATCATCTGTGTGGGCCCTCCAGGAGGAAAATCCAAATCCTCACTCTGGAGGCTCAGGGATGTGGGGCTTGGATGAGGCTTGACAGTGAAATTAAGGCCACTATTAGTATTTGTGGAAGAGGGTCTTGACCGTTCTGCAAAGATCTGATATCGGATTTTGTCCAAAATTAAAGAGTTGATACAATCCATCTTGACCAAGTCCTCAATACTTTTGAAGGGCCCATGCTCTCTGCGGTATTCTACAATGCTGTTGGCAATCTTTTCTGTGATACCTCGGATGCTCATGAGCTGAGCAGGTGTAGCTGTATTAATGTTGATTTTAATAGCTGAAAGGTGATCCAGATTCTGGTCTTTTCTTAAAGAGTTGGGTGAATGTTGTGCAGAATTTCCTTTGCTGTTCACACAGATCTCAAATTTCACCTGCTCCAGCTTGGCAGCTCCAACTCCACTCACCAAGGCCAAGTCTTCAACTTTGTTGAAGCCACCAATATACTCACGATATTCCACAATGTTTTGGGCTACCATCCTGGTGACCCCAGGAAGAGTCATGAGCTCCTCTTCTGTGGCTGTGTTAATATTTAGCCTCTCCTGGTTCACAAGGATATTACTGAAATTGCATGCGGCGCTGAATTTACGATTATGGCAAAGATCTGAAGGGTCTCTGGGTATGGAGCGGTGGCAGCCAAGGTTACCACCCATCGTTTCTTCTTTTATCTTGCAATAATCAAAGTGGATTGTTTTCAATTTCAAACAGGACAAGCGACTTCCAGGCAGAGACGGCTTGGCCCTCAGGTTGTGAGAATTCTGCAGAGAACTTCTGAAGAAAGAAGACAAACGGCAAAGAGTCTTTCAGAAAACGCTGGCAACATCACGGGAGGGTGAGACAGTAAACACTGTTTAAAATCAGAGTTGCGAGGCTGGAGTAAGCGCCGGCTTCCGAAGGTACTTCAGCAGCCAAGTGGGGAAAGTTAAAAATACGCTAAACACACGCACGCAGCCACGCTCGCACGATGCCGCGAGCGGGTCAACGAGCCAGCCTCCTTTTTTCTTTCTTCTCTCCTTGAACGGAAGAGACCCTTTCTCGTCCCTCTTGTTTCGGTCAGGCTGGCGAAGCTTCCAGTCGCCCAAGTCTCTCCAGAGCCTCTGCAGCGCTGCGATCCCAAGCAAAAAGCTCTTCTTACAGTAGCATCTCGCCGGGAAGCATCCTAGCTCCGGGAGGCAACGCAGTTCCTTTTCTAGTAGCTCGTCGTCACCCCCACCCCCCACGTGGGGCTTTTCCTTTCCGACCTACGCCAGTGGATTTCTCAACCTCGCCGCCTTTTGCAAAGCCAAGGAAGCGATGAGAAGAGGAAGAGACCCAACACCTCGCCCGCCGCCCGCCTTGGGTTTTCGCAGTGCTCTTCCCACGCAAGGTCGGCGAGTGTTTCTGCTTTCCTCTACTCTCGCTCCGGCAATGGCCTTCTTGGCGATCGCCCTTGGAGGGCTCCAAAGGCGCTGCCTCTTGCGGACAAAGACAGTGCCCCAGACATCCAGCCTCCAAGGCCAGCAGTTACGACACAGCTCGACTTGTTACACGCGCGAGCTGTTGAGTTTAGAGGCGGCGCGGGGAGCAATAGTCGGGACCGCCTCAAAGCACAGCGGAGGCGGGGCCTGCGCTCTCGCGCCGGAATTGTCCGGGTTGTTGCCGCTGGGCTAACCGGTTGCCAGCCAGCCAAAGCCGGCTGCCAAGGCTAAGAGCAGCTTTTAGGCCAAACTTTGGAGACTCAGTTGCCCCCTTCCCTCTTAATCACCCCGTCCTCGCATACATACACCAACCTTTGGTCGTGTGAGTCTAGGCTGCATCTGACTGACTGTCCCCCAAGAGTACTTCATCCCTCTGGCCTCTGCACACGGCGTGACTTGCACATTAAGTGCCTCTGTATGCTAGGTATGTGAGCGCTTCCGCGCGTTCGTGGGTGGAGGAGGATTTGCCTGGCGGAGCCTCGATTTGCAGGGATGACGGGAGAGAGGGATTTCGACAGGTCAAGCATAGATAGAAACAGGTTATCACGTGCTTTTTCAGCAGAGCAGTCCAAGAGCTTTTGGCATTTGGCAGGTTACTGAAGCTTTTTGGACTTGAGTTCTCCGATGGTTAATCAGCTAATGCTTTTGCACTTTTTTTGCCGAAAAGTGCAAAAAAAAAAAGTCTATAAATATATCTCCTGGGCTAAACAAGTGGCTCGTCGCTGCTCAGTAATAGGCTGCTGATACTGCAGAAAATTCCTAGGTTCTTCCGGAGGAGGTTTTACGTTGAGATTAGTCAAAGAAAGGGGGTGTGTGTGCGTGGAGGGGAAACGTTCAGATGTTTTCACCTTTCGGTTGTGAAGCCTTGGGGAAAATTGGGGAGGGTCTTCTTTAGTGGTTATATGGCAGGGAAACTGCAGACATATCAAATAAGCATGAAGCACGGAATAGTAATTATATTAAATTTATATACTGGTCGACTCCCAACAATTTTAGGGGTTCACAGCAATACAACAAAGCTATTATAATGAGCCACGGTGGCACAGTGGTTAGAGTGCAGTATTGCAAGCTACTTCTGCTCACTGCCAACTGCCTGCAATTTGGCAGTTCAAGTCTCACCAGGCTCAAGGTTGACTCCATCCTTCCAAGGTGGGTAAAATGAGGACCCAGATTGTTGGGAGCAATATGCTGATTTTGTAAACCACTTAGAGAGGGATGTAAAGCACTGTAAAGCAGTATATAAATCTAAGTGCTATTGCTATTGCTATAATAAAATCAGTAATAAAGATAAAATACGGTGGACTCTGTTGTAGCGCGGGAATAACGAGAGGCACAAGCAGGCTACTAACAACAGCTCTTTAATTCAGGGTGAGACTTCAGCAAAGGAACACAGGTAACAGCCCTCTTTATATACTTTTCAGGGGCAACCAAGAACCAATTAGGATTCACTGTACATTTGAATTTCCCACACAAAATAGATACATACATAACACCCCTCCACTCCCAGAAGGCACTTATTCTATCTATTTACATATTTACATACAAAATCACGCAGGTGACCAGGGTGTGTCTTAATCCTGGTTGACCTGCGCAGTTCAGTTGTTGGCGAGGCGTCGAGCTGGTCGGAGAGACCTCCCGTCTCTCCCGGCTTCGCCAATGGAACCTCCTGGATTTCTCCGGAGGTGTGGCTATCTCCAGCTGGGAGTGTTGGCTCGCTGGGGCGGCGCTGGAACTCAGGGTTGCCAGATAAGTATTCCGGCTTACTCGGGCTTGAGGTAGCTGTGTCAGGAAGACTTTGAAAGTTAGGACATGAGTTTTCGTTTTGTAAACGTTTATGCAATTGATCGATATGCCTCCTCCAGATTTTACCATGCCCTATATCGACTGTATAAGACTTCGGGCCGGTAATTCCTACGATGGTTCCTTCCACCCATAAGGGCCCGTTGGTGTAACTTCTAGCAAAAACTGGAGTTCCTTCTCGGAATTGTCTTAGTCCTCCCCCTTCCCCCTTGAAGCTATCAGGGGAGTAATTGGGATGCAGTCGGTCGAGAATGCATCTGAGTTTTCGGCCCATTAAGAGCTCGGCTGGGCTGCAGCCCGAGGTGGGGCACGGGGTGGCGTGCTGTACCGCTAAGAACTCATCAATTCTAGCTTGCCAGTCCCCTGCATCAAGCCGGGACAGGGCCTCTTTGGCTGTTCTTACAAATCTCTCTGCAAGGCCATTAGAAGCCGGATGAAAAGGAGCGGATAATGCATGTCTTATGCCTAATTCGGCTAAGTAGCCTTCAAATTGGGTTGCCGTGAACTGGGGCCCATTGTCGGATACCAGGGTGTCCGGTAACCCGTGTGTTGCAAATAATTTTCTGAGTACTTTGATTACGGCCTCAGAAGTGGTAGATGGCATTAGGGCGATTTCAAGCCACTTAGAATATGCATCTACAATAATAAGAAAGTTCTGGCCATAGAACGAGCCAGCGAAATCAATGTGAATCCTCCCCCATGGCCCTTTTGGTTTTTCCCATTCACGTACGGAAGCTATGGGCGGATCTGGGCGGGACTCCTGGCAGGGCCTACACTTCCCTACCCACTCAGTGACATCTTGGTCGAGATGTGGCCACCAAACATAACTACGAGCTAGGCCTTTCATGCGAACTATCCCAGGGTGTCCCTCATGCAACATTTCCAAAACTCTGTGCCTTAACCGTGAAGGAATGACCACCCTGTCACCCCACAATAAGCAACCCCCCAACATTAACAGTTCATTTTTTTTGTTAAAGTACAATTGAAAGTCACCACCGTCCACCTTTGTGGGCCAACCCCTCATTACCCAGCCCAACACAGTGCGCAAAACAGAGTCTCTAGCAGAAACCCTCGCCACCTCGTTTGAGGAAATGGGGCCCGGGGAAACAATGTCAAGCAGTAGAACCGGGGCTTCCAGGGTTGGGTTGCCCAACAAATTGGGCAAAGGGCATCGGCTGAGGGCGTCAGCATGTCCTAAGGTTTTGCCCGGCCGGTGGAGCAGTCTGTACGAGTACGCGGCTAAGAAAATGGACCTTCTGGTCATCCGGGAGGAAAGTGCATCCGGGGTCGGTTTATCTCCAGCCAAAAGTCCCAAAAGAGGCTGGTGGTTCGTAACAAGTTCAAAAGTGCGGCCAAACAAGTATTTGTGAAACTTTTTGACCCCAGCTACAGCTGCTAGCGCTTCTCTATCTAGTTGGCTATAGTTTCTTTCAGCACTAGACAAAGTGCGAGAGTAATAGGTGATGGTCGCCTCTAACCCGTTCGGCAGTCTATGACTTAAAACCGCGCCTACGCCAAAGGGGGAAGCGTCACAGACCAATACAAGAGGTAGTTCGGAATTGTATTGGATGAGGAAACTGTCCTCCGACAAAAGTCTCTTTACTGCGTTGAATGCAGCCGCTTCTCGCTTGCCACAAATCCACGGAACATTTTTTCCAAGGAGCCTGTGCAGAGGCTCCGCAACGGTGGCTTTGTGTTTCAGAAACATCGTATAGAAATTGAGAAGGCCCAGGAAAGCCTGCAGTTCGGATTTGGATTTAGGGGTGGGCGCGCCCTAACTTTGCTTTCTGTGGGATGAATGCCCGTGCCGTCGATTCTGTAGCCTAAGAATTCCACTGATGGAACCACTATCTTGCATTTTGTTCACTTAAGTTTAAGTCCCGCTTCTCTGAACCTCGTCAGGACTTGTCTAACTCTCTGGCCTAACTGAGTCTCGTTTTGGCCACTAATCAAAACGTCATCGAAATACGGGACGACACCTGGGAGGCCTTGTAGGAGGCGCTCCATTGTGCTTTGAAAGAGTCCTGGGGCGATGCTGACCCCAAACTGAAGCCTGGTGCATTTAAAAGCACCTCTGTGAGTTACTATAGTCTGTGATTCTGCCGTAGCGTCATCTACTGGCAGTTGCTGGTACGCCTGCGTAAGGTCTAGTTTTGCGAATAGCTTGCCAGGCCCAGGGAATGTAGTAGATGGTGGACTATCGGAACCGGATAGGCACTCTGCTGCAACGCCTTGTTTAACGAACATTTATAGTCAGCACAAATTCTAATAGAGCCATCCGACTTGACTGGCGTGACTATAGGGGTTTAGCGTGATCTACGGGAACGAGCACCCCTTGCTTAATGAGCTTGTCGAGCTCCGCATCGATTTTGGGCTTTAAAGCAAATGGAACTCGTCTTGCTTTCAGTCTGATTGGCGCTACGTTGGGGTCTAAATTAAAGGATATAGGGGTCCCCATGTACTTGCCTAGAGTCTCTTTGAAAACATCCCGAAACTCGTGGAGCAGGGTTTCTTTAAGAGATGATCCGCTGATGCTGTGAACGCCTGTGAAGCCCATGCCGAGGGCCCGGAACCATTTCATGCCCAGTAGACTAGGTAGGGGCTTGCTAATGACGGTCAGAGGCAGCTCTTTCTGGAACTCGCCATAGGTGACCCGGAACGTGCCCACGCCTTCAATGGGAACTCGGTTTCCCTAGTAGTCGAGTAGGCGGATTTTCTGACGGGACAGCTGGTTCTTCTGAAACTTGGGGAGGAGTGCCTTGAGTGTTGACCAGGACATGATCGATAACGTAGACCCGGTGTCGATTTCCATTTCGCACGATTTGCCATCGATTTCTACTTTCGTGTAGACTTTTTCCTCGTCGGTTGTGCTGGCTTAGCCGATTCTCGTGCTGTAGGTCTCCCGCTTTTGAGGTTCGTGCCGTTTTCTCGTGCCGTCATCTTTGATTGGCTGTTTTGAACGAGCCAGTTCTGGTTGGTCGCGGTAGTCATGTGGCTGTCAACTACGCGGAAATTGAGCTCTGCAAACTCGTGCTAGGTGGCCTTTTCTATCGCAACACCTGCAAATGGCTTCTCTGTATTTACACGAGTGTCTCTCATGATCCCCGCCACAGCTAGGGCAGTTCTCATGGTGGCGGGTTTGTTCGCTCGATTTCTTTTCTGTATGGAAGACGTCCTCGTCCGACTCTTCGTCTGTGCTGGTTTGCACCTCTTCTCTGTGGACGGGGGCTGTTTTCGGCCCGTCTTTGCTTGGACTGGGTCACTGCAGCGCTTCCGAAGCTTTCGTTGATGCCTCGTGTGCTCAGGCTTCGTCTAGTGTGCCGGTTAGCGTTAGGTCTGGCTTGGCTAGAAGACGCCTTTGTAACCGGGTATCTCGAACCCCGCAAATCAGTTGTTCAAGCAACGCGTCGTCTAAATCTCTGTAGTCACAATGCATTGCGGCTTTTCGAATC